TCTTTGTGTTCAGCACGATACAGGAAACATATATTTTGTGCCAAGATGTGTTTTCAAAAACTGCTACTTATTACAGAAGTCTCTTGATGGTGCTGGGCTAGATGAAAAATACTGTGTTCCTAGACTTCTTGGAGAACTAGCCCAGGTAACTATTCTTTAGAGCTCTGTAAAAGAGGCAGTGAAGTCATGATGGGCTATCAGCATCTGATCATCCAAACAAGGTTCCTCATTTTCCTCAGACAAAGTGGACAGAAGTGGAGGTGTACCACATTTAGTAGCATGGCCAAATAGCTGTTACTTGCTGAAGATTTTGACAGCTACCACCTTGTAAACACAAAGGGAAAGAGAGCTAGAAATCACACTCTGGCTGTATGGGCACAGATATTATATATATGGAATATATATATTATTATTATTATTGTATCATTACTCTGGAAAACCTTCAGATAAAAACAGACACGAGCTTGTAGTCCTTCAGATACATCTATCCATTACTTTTATATCCCCTCTTCTTCATAGTTTCTGTAATAACTGTTGAAATCCCACTGTGAAACTAGTAAATTCACAAAATGATAAATATAGTCACTGTAGAGTCACATAAAATGCTCTCTGTGTAAAAAAAAAAAAAAAGAAAAGAAAAGAAAAAAAAAGTAGTCTTTTTCTATGGGGCATGAAGCAAACATAAAGGATTGATTGTTTTTATAAAGAAGTAATGTACTTTGGAGTTAATAACCACTAATAATCAGGATTAGACATTTCTCGCAATGCTTGTCTCCCATCTTTTGACATTTCTCAAAAGCCTAAATTTTTAGCCGTCTTTAAAATTACTGATTTCACAAGCTTCCTGCAAAACATCCCCACTGAAAAAAAAAGAAATATGACTTTGTCAGATTTTAGAGGAAACTAGAGGCAATCGAGAGAAAAGCTTAAAGTGGATTTCTAAATTTCATCTGGAAGAATGATTAATGTGCTTTCCCCTCCCACACCGCTATAACTTTAATCTCACCTGGAGGAAAGAGAAAGGGAGCAATCTGACACTGAGCCCACTCAGCTCTGCTTTCCAGACTGCAGCTGGGAGATAAGGAAGCAATGGAGGCACTGCTTCCACTCACCCTTGGATATTTGGGATGCTCTCTATGGGAGGCTAAAGACCAATTATCCCTTGGAATTCATCCTCAAAGTGTTAATAATTTAGCTAATTCTATGTTTTATTCATTATAAGTATGTGTTGAAAAATGCTCATTATCAAAATTGACTAAAAAGCCCTCTGATCACATCAGCTGGCTTTTGGTAGTATTTCCCTGTTCCCCCTGCAGTTTGTGCTTCCTAGACCAACTGCTCCTTGTGGACAGAAACTGCTAAGCTCCTCTTCACAGCTCTCAAGTTCAAACCCGTCTTCACTGGTTAAATGGCATCTGCTTTGCTGCATATGCCTCAACAGCACATATGGAACAACTATAACCTGCTTCCTAAGGAAGGTTTCTCCATGTGGAAAATGCTTCTGTGTTCATTGCTGAACCTTATGCTGGTCAAAATGACCAGATTAGTAAAAGCATAATTTAAACCGTTTAAGTGTAACCAATCTTGTTTTGCTTTAAACAGCCCAGGGAACACAGACATCTTAGCTAAGGTGCCAGCTGCTCCATCAAACTGAGGCTGACTGACAGCTACTCCAAACAAGCCGTGGCACAGGTAGCATAAGATATGCTTAGTACACTCATTAGTATGTTTCATATAATTCTCATCAAAGCTAAGAGGTCAGCATCCACAGTGAGAGGCTTAACTACACATAAATGCTCAAAACAGCCATCCTTGACAGAATGTCAAAGTGCGAGGAACAGCACTTTCGTCTGAGAACTTTGGCACTGCATTGTACTGGGTAGTGATGCTGTCTCCCACAAAAGCTACTTCAGATAGGAACAATTAAAGAGAAGAGCTGGATGAGGGAAAGCTGGCTTACATTCTGTCATCAGCCACAGAGCCCGATCATGGACAGAGGAGCAAGTGTCCTTGAGTAAAGTCTGGAAAAAACACAAGGAGGACCAGACTGACAAGTTCATAATGCTATGAGGAGATGAATCACTTCCTTCCCCTTAGCCACTGACTAAGTTATGAAGTTAGAAATATAGTGCATTAGGCATTTCTCTTGTCCTCCATACTTCACATGCTTTACAGGTTCAAAGGCAGAGTAGAACAGTGGTAACTCAAGTGATAACTCAAGTGGAAACATGAGACTGCCATGGCCAGTGGGTGGTCCTCATATCCTGCAGCCATGAGGGATGTTCTTTGTGGGATGATGGGCTACTGCTTTTGTGGGCTGATGATGATCGTATGCAAAATGTTCTACTGCTGTGCATTGCACAGTGTGCTCCCTCAGAGGTATGTGTTGGCATGCCAAAGGTGTGGTTTCAATCTATCATACTGGCTCATTCAAATTGTTTTAACATAATTAAAGAGCACAATTAAGCTCCAGGCTATGATGTTTGACAAACTCCTCAAGGTGTCTTCAAAGATATTAGTCTGCAGCATGCTAGTGCTGTGTGATATTAAAAACATTACATCATGCTCTGTTTGCCTAGCACAGCATCCCAAAAGCAGAGCAGTGGTTTCCATGCTTAAAACTGGAAGCGCCTGAGGAGGAGAATGGGGAGAGCTAGACAGTGTTGTCACTAGCACCACCCACTAACACTGCTTCTCAACTGATAACAAAATGCAAGCAGTAAAACAAAGTGGTAGATTGGGAACAGGACTTCTGTCTGCAGAAAGCCATTGCAAAGTTCACACAATTTGTCCACTAAGTGTAAAAAATAATCTTTAAAATATTTTTGCCTCTTTAAAACTCAATGTTTCTTCTTAAAAATAAATCTTCTAAATTAATCATTAACCTCTGTTACTAAGGCTGCTTTGAATCAGAAAATGTCATTTCTGGAATGTCTGATCTGTCATTGTGTTGAGGACAACAGGTAGCTGTCTTTGAAATTAACTGACACAAGTTGTCAAACTATAAACTGCATGTGCATCCAAGTGTTCATGTCCTTCTAGTGCATAGATTTGTATCTGTAGATGCTGATGACTGTTAATTTGTATTATGGTAATATTCATAAAATAGTCAATAAGTGGGAATAACAGGGGGAAGAGGGAAAAGGAATGCACTTCTCTCTGGTATTATTGACACTTTGGTGATGTTTCTGCTCATGATCCAGAACTCTCCTGTACCAGTGTAGAGTCTTGGGGAGGCTGCAACCATATCTGCCCTCACTACTCTATCAAAAATGTAAAAGAAAGCAGTTGTTGCCACAGCTTAGCATATGGCTATTGAGAAGTAAAAGAAAAGCATATTATCTGAAAAAGAACAAAAGATGTTGCAAGAAAATGAAAAGTTTAGGAGAAAAACAAAACAAGAAATCTCAAGTGTGCTCTAAACCACTTTGATCAAGCATGACTAGCATTTATTTCAAGTCTACACCATCATTTAGATGTTTTTGTACCATGGCAGGTTTAAGCCTTCACTTCTCTCCTGAAACACTTGATGTTATATAAGATGTCATTTTAGAAAATATGAGACCGTGTTGGAAACCAATTTCCTGAAGAGCTAGGAATAGGGTCATATTGTTATCTAGTGTTATGCTTGCAGCTCTGACAATTTTCTTTTTTAATAAATATGGATAAGTCCATAGGACTCTAAAGGACAACAAATATTGTCCTTTATCTTATGTCTGTATTTCAAAATTGTGGAAAAGATTCTATGTGCAAAAAGGGTCAGAAGTCTTTTCGAAGACATAAAATGATACAAAGTCCCTGATCTAAAACATAAAAAGAGCCACAGACACGATTATAGAGTTGTGTTGTGCAAGAGCTGAGCAGTCAAACACAAATCATCAGTTCTGACCAGGAAACTAAGTAGTTAGGTGGAAGCGATTTACTGTCAGACCCTACACGGGGCTTGCTGGCAACGCACAGCACTGCCCAGTGCTGGGCTGGAGCCGCTTTGGACCTCAGCGGTTTGGATAACAGCCAGAAGAGCTCCGTGCCAGGTTCACAGTCTTAGGCAGACAAACCTGTGGAAGAATCAGCCGTACCAAATACTAGCCAAATGGGACCTGTAAGCATCCATGTACGGATACTTATCAAGTACATGTTACTAAATAAAGTGGAGAAGTGAATTTAGCCCATAACAAACCTCACAACACAAACCAAACCACTTTTATTTCTTTGAATCACTTTTGCCTTTTTTTAGCTGTATCAATCACAGATGTTTTCGCTTTAGCACCAGGGCTGGGCAAACCCGGGTAAACCCGATAGCTGTTCTCTAAGAGCGACCAGGTATGGAATACAGATCACCCAAAGCCAGAAAAAAACCCTTTTTCCCCTTCGCCGTGAGGCTTCTAAGAGAGAAGTGATGGCGTTTAGTTTGAGACACCTCACAGCCCCCCACATCCTAAAAGTAGGCGAATCGCGACTGCAGCCCTTCCCAAGAAGAGAGCGGCCCCCCGGCTGCCTCTCCCTGGCCCCCACACCGGCTCCCCGCACTTCCCGACCGAGACCACCCTTCCCGTGCCGCCCGGTGCCGCCGCAGCCCCGGGCCGGGCACCGGCCCGGCCCGCCGCCTCCTCGGGGCCACCCGAGCCGCTCAGCCACCGCCTGCTCCAGCTGCCCCCCTTCGGGCAGGGACCCTCGACCTCCCGCCACTCAAAGCGAGGCCGGAGGCGAAACTCCGCGTGGGAGCGGTGGTGGCGGGACCACTCCCGGTTCCCTTCCTCCGCCGGCTGCGGGTGGGGCGGGGGGCGGCGGGCGGCAACCCGCGGCCGGCGCTGGCAGCGCGGGCGGAGCTGCCGCTTTAAGCCGGTCCGGTCCCGAGGGGCGGGAAAGGGGCCGCTGAGGGGAGGGGGCTGGGCGCGCGCGCGCGGCATCGCCCGGCGCGGCCGCGGAGCCCGGGCGGGCGGGCGGGGAGGACGCGGGCGGGGGCGGCGGCCCGGGGGCGGAGCGGCGTGAGGGGAGCGGCGGGCGCGGGCTGCCCGTGCGGGAGCGCGGCGGCGGCGGCGCGGCTGGAGGGGGTCCCGGCCCCGCTCACCCGCTATGGCCACGTCCCCGTGCAGCAGCAGCGGCGTCTCGTCGTCGTCCTCGTCGGGGCTGGGCGCGGACGCGGGGCTGGAGATCCGCACGCGCTCCGTGGAGCAGACGCTGGTGCCGCTGGTGTCGCAGGTAGGAAAATCGCCGCGGGAAAACGACCTCCCACCCCCTTCCCCCCACAACCTTCGGGAGGCTCTGCCCGCCCGGGACCGAGCTCGGCCGCCGCCGAAGTTTGCGCGCTCCGGTCTCTCCGGCTGCTCTGAGCCTGCCCCCTCCCGCCCGTCCCGGGATCCCGCCGGCCGCGGGCGGCTGCCGGAGCCGGTGCCGTGTGCGTGATGCTGCTCGCACGCCCGTCCCCGAGAAAGACTGCGAAGTTCCCCGCAAGGTCGCCGCGGAGCGTTGCGTAACGCCGGGCGCTGCGGTGCCGCCGGCGGTCCGAGCCCCGGGCCGCCGCGGCGGGTGGGGGCCGGAGGGCCGGCCCGCCGCCCGAGCGCTCCCGGCTTCCCGAGCCTCCCGCCCGCTGGCTGCCCGCGCGGGAGCGCGCTCCTTCCCTCCCGGCTCGGCGCGGAGAGAGCGCTCGTCTTCCAGGGGCTTTGGCGGAGCTTTGTGTTTTCGCGGTCTGGCCTGAGCGTTGCATTGATTGGAGCTCCTACTGCACCCCGGGATAGTGCCCGGTTTTTAAGAGGTTCGGTAATGGACAAACTGTCTTGAGAACCTTTTAGCATGTCCCTTACAGTGCTAAATGACCTTAAAACCCACCCAAATCGGGTTTTTCATTGCTCTGCTGAGTAATTATATGCCAGTCACTTTGGCGTTGGTGTTTTTTTTTGTTGTTGGGTTTCTTTTTTCAGACATTTAGTTACAAAATTGGCGTTTGACGTACTCATTAGAATTTTTTTTCTTGAAAAATAGTGTCTGAAAACAGCACAGTGTTTGCTATATAGGATTTTTGTGCTTTGAACACTGATAAATAAAGTTAGCAACTCAAAACCTATCTGTGCAAAATCTTCAAGCAATATGTAACAGCTATACAAAAAGAACTGGTCCCGGTGAGGTCAAACTGTGTTTATATTGTCATCATCTATCTGGAAACAAACTGTGATAAGCTTTGTTTTGCATTTGTATGCCTGGACTGCAGGGAGGATTTCTAATGGGTAATTGTGTTTCTGTGCGCATCATGGTAGTGTGTATTTTCTTTTCGGTTCGGAGAAATCAGAATCAGTACAGCAAAGCCCTTCAAAGGGATCGAACCACTTGTTCCAAGGCAAAGTAAAGTTAAATGAATTTTCTAGTCCTGAAACAACCGAGATAAAATAAGGAGACCTCTTTTAAGAAGCTTAAGAGCAGTCAGAAACACATCCAGTTGCAAAAGCTGAATTTAGTTGCATATCTTAAATTTGTACTTTTAACAGATTTATGTGACGATGTTCTTTGGATTTCTCTGGAGTATTGTTTAACAACAATGACCTTATTACCTTTGCAGCAAAACCTGCAGACAAGTGCGTCATGTATGATTTTTCATTATCTACAAAGCCTGTGACAAGATCTTCCAGGAGGGCTAAGCAGCTTTCACTTCCCTCTATACCAGTGTCTGAGCATTTGTGAACACTAGAGCTCAGTGTTTTCCTGCTAAGGTGCTCCAGACTTGAGACAAGTTCCTTGAAGCACGAGCGCTGAGCTCTGTTCATATTCAGGCTGAAGTTGCTGATGGTGTCGGCAGTAGCTCCCTCCACCTGCCTGGTAAAATGCCCCACTTACTGTGGTGGTTTATCAGTTCTGCCTGTACTCATTCATTGACTTTGTTCAGAAATTTATGCAGAATGGTGTTTATAGAGTACTTCTTAGTCTCAGAATTTGCTTGTAGATTCTGCATAAGCTATGCATGCAGTAGCCCTCAGGACTTTGTTTTTCTGCTTGTACGAAATGTGCTTGCAATGAGCTTTGTTCCTACTGTCAAGTTAACTTTACAGTTTACCCTTTTGTTAAAATCTGAGAAGCGCTATGTGATACTTGTACACTACTGAAAAAATAGTCAGAATGTTCCTGCTGTTTTTCACTACTTATTTTAAGCAAACAGGAAACAAAAGGTGCCTTGTCTGACAAACTCACTTTCAGTCTCTCATGTGGGATTAAATCTTTTCTTAAAGCAAAAAAAAAAAGCTGCATTGATTTTTATTTAAATTCATGTACTGTATTCATACATCATCATTGTAATATTGTAAGCATGTGTTTGCCTGCTTGTTTTTTCTCAGCAATTGTGAGGGTTGGTTTTGTTTGTGGGTTTTTTTTTTCCTTATAGACTGTGTTGTAACAGAGTACATTTGCTATCAGCAGTGGTATAAGATGCTGATTTTTCCAGCAGGAGAAATTACCCTTAGAGTCATTACTGCATGTACTTATTAAACCAATTAAAATTGGTTTTAAAACTTAGAGTATTTACAGAGTTAAACTAGGTCTGTTCAAACCTTGATGTGGCCCATTTTTAAGAGTGCCACAGATGACAAAGACGACAATTTTAAGCCACAGTATTAAGCATATTTGTTTCTTTTTCACTGTCTACATAGCTGTACTGTGAAAAGAATCATTGTACAGTATTTTGCAAGGCATGTGGCATGCACTTCAGAAAACATGGCTTCTGGGGTCAAGCACCACAATTTTCTTTAAAATGAGCAATATTCTCTTCACTGGGATAGGTGTCTTTAGTTCAGTTTTCCATGCATAAATACTATGGCATTCTTTAAAAGTCTAGATGTCTCTGTCACTGCTGCTACCCATTTCCAGTCTAATTATTTTGGAGTTCATTTTTTTTAATGGGAAGTTTTTGGCAACACATGTCAGGAAGGGTGTTTGAAGTGGTCAGTGCTGACTCATTTAATAACACATCATTTAAACAGTTGAGGAAAAGCAAAGACAGTCAAAAAGCACTTTTCAGGATGTGGCTTCACCAGTGGCTTCCGCAGCTGCCATCTTGTACCTGTTTGCTAGTGTAGGAGCAGTTGGGTACCTTCACAGCTGTGGGAGTTTGTCTAGATCTGTTCTAAGGAAGCATTCTGAGAAACAGCAGAATAGGTATTTGTCAACCTTCACAGTCAGGTACTTGGGAAAAGAGGGATACTTTGAGATCTGTGTGCCTGGAGAAGAGAAGACTCGTTGGAGCCTTCTAGTACCTAAAGAGGACCTGCAAGAAAGCTGGAGAGGAACTTTTTTACAAAGGTGTGTAGTGATAGAGCAAGGGGCAATGGCTTTTAGCTGAAAGTAGATATGTTTAGATAGATGTTAGGAAAAAATGCTTCTCTGTGAGGTTGGTGAGACACTGCAGTGGGTTGTCCAGAGGTGCTGTGGGTGCCCCATCCCTGGAAGTGTTCAAGGCAGATTAGATGGGGCTCTAAGCAACCTGATCTAGTGGAAGATGTCCCAGCTCTTGGCAGAGCAGGAGTGGAACTAGGTGACCTTTCCCTTGCATCCCAAATCATCCTATACTTCTATATTCCCAAAAGAACAAAGTCACTTTTCACAGTTGAAGGTGACCTATCCTCCAGCATCTGGAGTGCAGACCAATATGATTACAGCTGCTCAACTTTTAGAAAGCCCATTTTGTGATAGGCACTTTGGAGAATGATTGTGTGCCCACGTGTTACTGAACACATTTTTCCAATTTTCTTGGTATAGGAGATGCTGCCAGAGGTGTTGGAATTGACCTGATCTATATAGTAATAAATATAAGCTTTTAAGCTTTTCTTTTATTTTAGTTACAAAAAGCCCATGATACCAATGCTTCTGAATGCTGTTGTTGTCAGTCTTAGTCTACATAAGTTAACAGTGCCTTGAGGTGAATGAAACAAACCTGTTCTTTACTGTCATATTGTTTCCTTGCTTTTTCTGAAGCTAGCTAAAATAATTTCCATTTCAGTAAATGTTATATAATGTTATGTAATGTTTGTCAGTGTTCTGTTTTTCCAGAAGTTTCTGGAGTTGTATATTAGATCCCAAAGAAAAACCCACAGCTGATGTTTTCCTAATAATGTGAGAAGCTCACTTATGCAGTTTTCAGACTGAAGGTATGACTTTAGAATAGCATTGTGCATCAAGTTAGAGGTCTGTATATAATCTGTAAACTTTTCTGTTTTGTTTTGTTTTGTTTTTTTTTCCCTTTTTGGTCCATTTACAGGGACTGATATGGGGGCCAGTGCTGTTTAATATCTTTATTAATGATGTGAATCTTGGGGTGAGCATGGACCAGCATGTTCAACAGGCATGTGAACTTCCTTACAGCAAGCTGGGGAGTGTCTGACGCTGTGGATAACAGGGATGCTAGACAGAGGGACAGGCTGGAAAGATGATATGACAGGAAATCTGTGAAGTCCAAGTCGTACAGCTGAGCCAGGGTAACACCATGCAGCAGTAGAGCCTAGGATCAACTGTCCTGAGAAAAACTTTTTGTAGGAATCCTGGAGGACACATTGAACAGGGGTCAGCAGTGATGGCCAGCTGCACCTGCAGACTGCAGAAGTGATTCTTTTTTTGTTTGGCACTTGTGAGGCAGCATGGGGTACAGTACCATGTTGAGTTCTGTGCTCCAGGGAAAACACTGGCATAGTGAAGTATGTGACATAAGGGGAGTGGTTGAAGGAAGTGAGCTTGTTCCACCTCAAGAAGAGAAGTGTTTGTTAGTTTCTTGTAGAAAGCTAAGGTGGTACTTTCCTCTCTGTATCATTTGAATCTGAGTGATTTTTTTGTTTGTTTGTTTTTTGATTTTTTTTGTCTGGACAGTGGCAGAGTTTACCACCATCTACAGCTACCCACATAGTGGCAGGTATGGAGAAGACAGAGACAGTCTGATCCCAGACATGTATGGTGACAGAAATTGGGACATGGGAAAGTCTAATGAGATAGGCAAAGATAAGAAGAGAAGGCTTTTATCAATGTAAAGGAGGCCAAACACTGGATGAGGTGTGCAGAGCTCCTACAGAGTCTGCAATTTTGGAGATATTTAGAATGGATAAGACTATAAACAGCACATTCTAACTGGACATGGTTTGAGCAGGGAACTAGAGGAGATGATAGCAAATTGCTTTCATCATAATCAAGTTGGATTTTTTCCACAGATATCTGTTTCATAATCAAAAGATCTT